AGGTTTAGTGCGTCCATTCCACATCAAATTCTCTTCTGCTGCCTGTCTTGCTAGAGAGAACATCAGCAACTGATACTTTTTGTGCCTTCTTGGGTCCTTAAAGTAAAGCTTGAATTAACGGATGTTTCCATTCCTCAGATGGATTGTGCATGCAATGAAGTATGAGCTGAAAATCCGAGCAGGGGAGATGCCCCCTGTGGATTTATACCAGCTGTCGCCCAGTGAGGTGAAACAGCTTCTCTTGGATATTCTTCAGCCTCAGCAGCAAGGGAGGTAAGGAGATCTCCGCATGTGCCTCTCGCAGCAGCGTTCCTTACTGATCAATTGCACAAACTATGTTTTAACTGGGTTGTCTCATCCCTTTTGCAAGCAGTTGTTTTCCCACCACCCTTCTAAAATTTATTTATTTTGAAGCTGGAAGAGCAAAGGCAGGTGCAGATGCTGGTTACTTTGTACGGCTTGGCTCTGTCGTCAGATTTCGATACTCCGGTTGGCAACAGCTACAGGCATCTGGCATGCAGGATTTCTGTCACCTAGCTTGACACTGGGAAGGGAGCCAATGCAGCCCGACGACCAGCTACTATAGGGGGCTGTTTCTGTCAAAGCAGGGCTTATCTGCCGATCCCTGACCTCTTTCTTCTGGTTTGTCATTAAATCCCCCCTCTTGGCAGCATGTTCAAGCTGCAGCCGCATTGCCGTTGTGTGTCGCCTCACGACTGCATGCTCAGTTAACATTAGCAGATGGCGTGTGTGTGTACGCAAGCACACACACAGGTCCATGCCATGTGCGGGCCCAGTGGAAACATGAGACGACGCCATCAGTTTTTACTGACGGGTAGAAGTCAGGCTGCAATATGTGTATGTTTGCACTGTTCAGGGGGCCTTTTCTGGGTGGGGGGGCAGCTCTTCCCTTGGGCGTGGCCTCTGCTGTGCTGCATTCCGGCTGCCCCTGTGTGGTTGCCTTGGGCTGGAAAAGGCTGCCAGCGGAGGCTGTTCGCCCTGGCCCAAGGCAAGGAGCGCAGCCTGCAAAACGTGACCAGGCTGAGACAGACTTACAGCATTTACAGCAAGTATGACTGATCCAGAAGCCTTCTGCACAGCACAGAGCTGTTCATAAGGCCTGCACTTCTGCCTCCAGAGGATTGTTCTGAGGTCTGGGTCCACACAGATATCTCTGGGGCCCAGAAGGAATTCTCCTTGGCTCTTAACAACTGGGCTTTTGAGTGCCTTTGACAGCTTCGATGACTTTCCCGCCCTCACCTCTCCCAAGTTCAGCAAGACAGTGAGGCCCTGCCCCAGGGGCAAGGAGCTGCCCCATTAATTAGTGGCCTGGCAGCTCCCTGTCCCTTCACTTCCCGGCCCAGCAGCTTTTTTGCAGGATGTCAGTGGTGCATCAGTGGAGCAAGAGCAGTGCTTGTTTGTGTATAGAAGCAGAAGACGCCAGATGAGCTCCTTCAGGTCTTTCCTGCCCTTCCAATTGCTTGCCTTCCAGCCACAACACATTCCAGGCCAAGGTCAGGCAGGTGATCAGGTTCCCAAGGAACTAGCAGGAAATCTCTGAGAAAAGTACTGGATTGAGAGAAGGTAAATTATTCCAGTTGGCTAATTCATTCTCATCTGTAGGCATGTTCAGAAAGATGCTTGTGCTTGACATTCTGCATCACAGGAACATGTATAGATTTTCCCAGCCGTGATTTGTGAAGAAGGGGCAAAGTGTTGCCATTTCAAGGAATAGGAAAATGGTCTTGCTGGCCATGAGAACTGTGCATGTATACAGAAGCTCTCTCTATTGGGGATGATGAAGTTGCACAAAGGTGAAGCTGAGCTATTGCAAAGATAAAATCCTTCCACTGGGACTTTTAAAGCATTGCTGAATGTCTCTGATACCTTCCTGGACTCAGCCCTTATTCTTAAGGCAGTGCCTTCTCTCACAGTTTGGCTTCTGTATGTTTGTACAAAACTATGTTTTTAAAATAACCCTGAACACCTTATGCTGCAAATTATTTGCCAAACACATTTAAGAGTGTCTCCCTATAAGTATCTACTTCTAATACCAACACTTTTTTCCTTAAAGAAAGCAGTGCTTAATTTTCTTTTTCAGGAGATTCCGCTAATATTATACATAAAACTGCTTTTTTCCCAAGAAATATTAAAAATCTGGTAAATGCCTCATTTACTTTCTCCTTTTTCATTTACTGCTTGGAAGATGAAATTCATCAGCAAAACTGTACTTCTAAAACCTTAGATGATCTTGTTATGAAATCAAATTTCTGTATGGCATTGGCAGCATCACTGGAGGTACTGATACATAGAGTGATATCTTCAAAGGAAAGGACCACTCTGAGGAGGAAATCTTGCCTGGAGGAAAAAAAGAGCACTTTACATGAATTAAAAATACTGCCAGTTTATTTCCTGTATCAGTTGTAGCCCAGTAAGAGGCAGATTTTCCAAAGAATACCATCCTTTCTCACTTAGAGTTGGGGTTTCTTCTTGTGACAAAATGTTCCCCATTAGTTTATTATAACAAAGACAACAAAGGGCCCTGGAGCATCTGAAACCTAACAATGTACAAACCCACAGTAGCTTCGGCCCTAATAATTTTGCTAGCATTTAAGATACCGTGAGGCTCTTCCTTGTTCTTATTATATGAAAATTATTCTCCTCCCCACTATTTTGGTTCAGAAACTGGTATGAACCAGTTCACTTGGAGCATATTTAGGTTGAAAATCAAGAAGTTCAGTGGTGGAAAAGGTATATAAACTGGTCTTCTTTCTGTGACATTGTGACATTTCTCAGTCCCACATAAACCCCTTTAGATTTGCCTCTTGTCTCAAGATTTTCCAGATGTTTGAACAGGCTTCAGCAGCAAGATGTGGTCACATGACCGAGTCTCAGTTTCTCCTTCATGTCTTCTTTACCACTGTCCTTGCATGCCATGACTCCCTGCAATACTGGTTTGTGGCAAGCAATAGTGGCATTCAAACCAGCAAATGGTGGTTTGTTCTTTTGCTGCAATCCCGCTTAGAAAACAAAGTTAGAACCATGTTCAAACAGCAGAGTTTTACATAGAGTTTGAACCTTGTTCATGTCTTCTTTAGATGTAACAATAAGCCATGATTCAAGCTCCTAATTCAGTATTGAATAGCCTATTCAGTAGAGAAGTTCACAAGCCCAGTGAGCTTCTAATGAGAAGCTTCCACATTCTAAAAACAGCCCGTGTTTATAACAAACTTGGGCAGAAGTTATAGCTAATATCTATTGTCCCATAAATTGGAACTCATGCTCCTAATTATCTCATTATTAACCTTCCATAAACATTTCAAGGGGACTAAGATGTATACCTTTCAGATCAGATATTATATGGAAGTCCCAAAACATCTGAAGAACAAGTTGGAGAAAGTTTTCTTAGTGGATGGTGTAACTTGGTGTCCTGCAACAGCAGGGGGTTGGACCCAATGCCTTCTGGCCCTTCCGGCTCTACTGTTCTGGAAGAACTAATTAACCACAATTGTGTTCATCTTCAGGTAGACACATTGCAAAGAGCAGGAGTAGGCAGGACACCGTTACAGTGACACACGTAGCAATGTACCTTTGATGTGATTTAGGTATTCCAAATGAAGGGAGTTGTTTTACCTAGAAAAACAGGGGTCTGATTTACCTGTCTGGGTGATGGCTGTATCCCACTCAGGGCAGAGGGAGCTGCTTTGTATCAAGGAACGCCATCAATCCATCTAGCTCGTTAATGTCAAAACTGATTAGCAGCAGCACTCCAGTATTTCAACCAGGGATTAACACACATTTATCTCCCTTGCTCTTTTGGCAGCTAAAACAGTAATATTACGACATTAAAAGGATAAGCCCAATAAACGAGTTGAGGACTTGATGGAGTTTTCCATTTTTAAGCAGGTGCTTTGTAGGTATAATTTACAAATGGACAAGTACATAGCTATCCAGCCTTTGCTGAAGTCAATGAAGAATTGTCCCTAATAGCAGTATATTTTGCTATACATACAGGGATACCCAGTATGTAAGTATTCAGTGTAATAGAATTTTTCACATTTCGTTTAAGAAAACTGCAATCATTATATTTTGTTGTTTTTTATTTTATTTTTGGTTTTGAATTTGCAACTCAGAATACAAAAAATAATTTAGAAAGAAGGATTTCAGCCAGGCGATTCTCCCAGCCCTGCCAGGAGGTGCCGAAATGAAACCTGGAAGCTTTTATGTGCAAAGCATGTGGTCTTACATTCTTGATCCTTCTCTCTCTGTAGTTTCAAGAAACTGATGTATTTTAAGCCAATGTTGGAAGGGTTTTTGATTGTGCTTTAATCTGTAAGACATTTGTGTTAGTCCGTTCATGCTGGAAAATTTATGAATATTTATGTGCTAGGAAGGAGTTTGTGACAGTGACTTCTTAAATTAAATATAATCATTGCCCCCCCCCCCAGTGGTGTAAAGGCATTGGGCAAAACTGAGAGGCACCATAGACAAAAGCGCTGCTTAATTTTTTCTAACTCAACAACATTGTGAATATAACTGAAAAGCTGGAATGCTATTATGCATGAAGTCTTCTACATTCTCTGTCAGGTTAATTTCAGGTCATGATCCAAAGAGATTAATTTGGTTCCTTTTCTTTGTTTTCCCACTTAAGTAGATTTGACTTTTTGAAAATCTTTTTACCCATTAATATAGCACACATTGAACTTAACACTTGGGCTGCTAAAGCTGTGCATTTTGCTTTGTTCCGATTAGCATCTGGCTTTGTTCTCTTCTTTCATTATTACAATAACCTTATGAAACATTTAACAAGACACTCACCACAGCATATTGTGTTTTGCATCATTGATGGATTGATTTTTGCTCTCATTTCATACTGGGCTTAATTAATCCACAAAGCGAACACTGTTTTGATCTGGAAGCAGATTTGGCTTTGTGAGCTAATCCACATTTTGTTTTTTGTTCGCAGATGCTGGTTAAACAGACGTCAGATTGACGGCTCCTTGAACCGAACGCCCAGTGGCTTCTATGACAGGGTGTGGCAAATCTTGGAGAGGTCCCCCAATGGCTTGATAGTAGCCGAGAACTTTTTGCCGCAGGTAAAGCCCCATGTGTGGTGGCTCACCTTAATTTTTTAGCAGAGGCTGGATGGCCACATATCAGAGATGCAGCAGAGTTCCTACATTAGCCAGGAGTTGGACCAGATGGTCTTTGAGGTCCCTTCTAACTCTCATCTCTTGATGCCTGCCTTTGTTCACCCAAAGAGAAAGCAAAAGCTGATATAGTGGTCAGGCAGCTGGGCTCAGCCAGTCACGTCCTTGGCCACTCAAGGGCAGGACGCAGCATTTCTACCCATCAGAATCTACCCGGGTAGGAGACCCCCCACCTGTGTATTGAGTTTGCCATTTTTCCCTCGATGGTCAAAATGACTCACTGGAGTGTCGGAGATTTCTGTGGCATGGCAGGTTTTCCTACATAGCTGGCTCCTTCTTCTAAACTGAGCCCCAAATCAAGGTGAACTGTAAGTTTTGTGAGGGTTTCCAGGCTTCATTGGATGGCTCTTCTCTATTGAAATCTGTTTGGATCATTGGGAACACTTCAGCGGCAAAGGAAGTGTCCTGCGTGAGCAGAGAAGCTGGCGTGTGGCACAGCCCAGTTTAACCATTGCTATGCCGTAAGCATCATTTGTGAATCTCTGCAGGCGAGAATTCCACTGTCGCTCACTTCATCCCCCTGATATTTTTCCTTCTTTACAGCAACCAACATTGTCGGACATGACTATGTATGAAATGAATTTCTCCCTTCTGGTCGAGGACATGTTGAAGAATATCGATCAACCTGAATACAGGCAAATAATTGTAGAGGTCAGTACCAGATGTGCCTCTGACGCTTTAAAACTCGCGTGCAGGAGGCAACCACTGGCTGAAGGAGCGTGGCTCCCCTCGCATCGTTCCCCGAGGGCGGCTCCAGCCCACAGCGTGCTGACCCGTGTAACGCAGCCAGTGTGCACAGGCAGGTGCTCATGGCTGGCTGCTCCACCTGTTTGGGACCCGTGTACGGAGGGGCTGCTCTCAGGCAGGTGTTCCTCTTCAGTTGCTCATGCTCAGCACACAGAGAGGTGGGACAGGACTAGCCCGACTCACCCCACCGGGCGAAGGGTAACCTGCTTCCTCCTTCAAGGCTTCAAGGCCTCCTATGGTCACAGTGTGAGAATAACACAAATGATAATGATTTGAGTATTATTCCTCCGTCTTACACTTCCAGTGTGCATTTCATGTCTTTTTCTGCAATTTATGGACACAATTCACCCAAAACCATGCTTTCTACCAGAAATAGTGGGGCTTAAAATGTTTCATTTCAGCGCACTGTGGCAACAATCAATAGTGTTGTATATTTTCCCGTTTTGTTTGAGGCTGTAGTGCACCGAGAGTTTAAACTGCCCTTAAACGGTGATGCGTTATGTCTGAATCCTTTTTTTTTTTCTTTTTAATACTTTAGTTGTTGATGGTTGTCTCTGTTATTCTGGAAAGAAACCCTGAATTGGAGTTCCAGGATAAAGTGGACTTGGACAAACTAGTGAAAGAATCATTTCAGGATTTCCAGAAGGACCAGGGCCGTCTCAAAGGCACTGAAAAACAAGTCAGTACTATAACTCCTTCCAAAATGAATGCTTGTTGCTCTTATTACTTACTGGACTTCGTTAAATCTACAGACAAGCTTTGTTTTGCTCTGGAAACAGATCATGTTTGTGAGGCCTTCTGTAGTTTCCTTGTGTGAAGGAACACAATTCATTAAGAGTCTAAGCAATGCCATCTACAAACCTGATTGCACAGAGACTTTGTTGTAAGATGGTCTCTCACCTGTGCAGTACAAATAGCTCAAATATACCCTGATGCAAGACTGATGACTTGCAGCTCTTCTGCAGGGAAATAGTGTGTTCCAGCTGTTCACAGCTGCCAGCCGCTATGAATCGTAATGTGAGAATTGCCCCGCAGCTCTTTTTAGTGGGCTGGTGACACTTGCCTGCCTTGGGCCAAAAACTGAGTCTGTAAACCCTTGTCCCAGAATGCCCCAAACCATGGGCATTCCATCCAGTCCCGGGGTGCAGACCCTCCGGCCGGAGTCTGTCCCAGTCAAGCATTCCAACTTTCCCGTGGACACGTCCCCTTCCTTTCTTCCCACCTCTTTCCATCTATTAGTGGCTTCCCAGATCTTGTGGAGCACCCCCCACCACCACTTTGGAGAGGCTGGAGTTATATTCCTAAGAGTCAGTCACTAGGACTCAGAACTTCAAGCTAAAATATGCACTGTTGTTGCTGTTGTTGTTAATATAATAATTATCGATGGCGATGGCTCTGCCCCCCTTTTGATCCCACTGTCCACTGGAATGCAGCCTTTGGCAGCTTCTCCCAGTGCAGCTCGGCCTTGGGGTCGGGAGAGGTTCTGCGGCCCTGCTCCAGCCACGGAGTGCGCGGCATCTCTGGCACACGCGGCCAGGCGCACGCTCGCACGGACACCCCTCTCCTGGCTTGGGGCAGTTGCTCTTCCTGCACGGTGAGCCTGCGATTGACAATCTCTGCACTTTTAGAACCAATGATGTGGCGATTCGCTGAACGACGCCTGGGTGATTCGTCGCTGTTTTTCCACAGTGTAAAGCTGATGTTTAAAGCAGCATAAAATCTCTTTAACGCACTGTGTTTTGGACAGTGTTTTTTTTTTTCAGAATATGTATCAAGATTCTTAACAAAACACCCATTTTTCAAAAAACAACGCTTTCTGCTTCTGTCAGTGTGCTTCCCCCTTGCCATTTGGTAAGAATCCAAAATATTTATCATACTAAGCAACAGAGAATGTCAAGTGCACTTTCATCACCGTCATGTTTTCCATCTGTAGCTCTCCTTGCTGCTAGTTAAGCCTAGTTATTATCCATCAACTAAGATCAAACTCTGCTTGTTTCTGCAGGATGACATGACCTCCTTCTACAACACTCCGCCACTGGGAAAACGGGGGACCTGCAGCTATTTGACAAAAGTCGTGATGAATTTATTGCTAGAAGGAGAAGTGAAGCCCAGCGCGGATGACCCCTGTTCTATTAGCTAGAGCTGGTGGAAGCAGGTGGTTGAGATGGCGTGTCTTCAGCTTCTCGTTGCTTGGCATAGGATGCTTAGTTCTTCACCGGTAGAGCCCATTTCGGACAGTGTTCCGTATGACAAACCTCAGATACTTAGGATAGCAAACCATATTGCTGATCTTGTGGCAGCCAACATGGACATCCCATTAAAACCCTGTTCCCTCCATAGGTATCTCACAACAACCTGCACCCCTCTTCGAAGCATCCCAGTCACAGGTTGGCTGAGCAAATGCATGGGATGCTCCTGGTTCCTGCTGATCGAGAATTCTTTAGAGAAAATTAACTGGGTTGCACTTTGAAACATTGCTTGAAAACAGTTGCGGTGATGCGATTCTTTATGTAATGGTGAATTAAATGTGCATTGCCACATTTATCAGCTCTGCACCTCTTCATCTGTATTGTAATTCATTACTGAAACCTTTATTATGAATACTGGATGAAATACTGGCATAAATTTAGAAAAATAAATGAGCCCTGCATTTTGAAGTTATTTGTTACCTCTGAGAAGATAAGTGTGGTTTTGGGTTTGAACACGCCAGTGAAACTTCAGACCTCAGGCAGCCAAGCTGGGACTCGCCTCTGCCTGATTTCCTGGAGAGCCTCTGTCAATCCACCTGCCCAGTGCAGGACCAAGTGGACGGCGTGTTTGCTCAATTAAAAGGGTGTTTTCCTAAGTACTTCTGCACACAATGCTTATTATCCATTTGGCATTGGCGACTTCAGGGTGTAACGATGGCCATCCACTTCAGCAGCCTTAAAAGACAATTAGGCCAATGCCTGGAGGATAAGGCTGAGAGTGGCTACATGTTAATGGAGGCAGCATGTCACTTCCAGCATTTGAAATTGTTGGGGTGGGGCACTGTTGAATTAGTGTCTTGCTCATAGGCATCTGATTGGTCCTCGTGGGAACAGGATTTCGGACCAGATATGCCTTTGGTCTGATCCGGCATGGCTCTGAAGTTCTTCCGTGCCTCTTCCAGTATCCTGTTTGACTGAGTCCACCTCCACATGGAAAAGAAACTAGGAAATGATTTCTCTCAGGACAGACTGTGCATGGCTAGTCCAGCATTGTCTGCTCTGACTGGCAGCTGTGCTCCAGTCTTTCTCATCAGCAGTTGTGCGAAGGGTCTTCTACCTCTGAGCCGTCTGCAAAACCAGCATGCATCTGGAAGACTTTTCGGGTGGAAAGGTTCTTGCCTATGCTGTTTCTGTAGGATATGGAGGAAATATTTCTTTTCCCAGCAGCATCCTGATGTTGACCAGATTGAGCTGGTCTTTCTGGTGTGAACAAAGTCACAAAGTGATTTCAGATGTGGAGTGTGAGTTCAATATTAACTCTCCTGCATCACCCAGTGCTTCTTGGCACATCCCTCCTCATTCCTGAAGCAAGGGGTGGGGGGGTTGGAGTTGGGCCCGCTCTTGGTCAAGCCTTTTTCTATATGTTTTCCACGAGGACAAGAGCCATGCTTAGATTTGATCCGACTTTGATCCCAAAGGTAAATGTCAAGTTCCACAGGCTGATACCTCTCTTCTGTTCCAGTCCAGAAACATACTGGTGAGATTACCTGGCACATTTTGGCAAGGAAATAGCCTCCTATTGTTAGAGTGGGCAGGTGGGAAAGGAAAGGAATCTGAAAGGGATAAAGTGAAGTTTATATTGTAAAAACTGTAAGGCTTTAATGCAATATGGATTATAGCATGCATTTCAAAGGCACGATGGGTCAGGAGTACTCTGCCAGGAAGTAAGGATGTGGCCTCTTCCGCTGGGAGTAGATCCACGTCGTCTTGAAGCCCCTAAAGAAGCCCCTGCGTTTGCCCCATCTTCAGCTGAGCGCACTGAATGGAACCCATTTTGCTTCAGCAAAATCAGTATTTGATCCTCATACATGGATCTGTATTAAAGTACCGGCCGGCAGCTTGTTTCTGCGATCAGACCAAGCTCTTTTTGCCCTTCCTCCCATTCCTACACAGGCCTATCAGTAAATCTAATCAATACTCTCCTTCTCTGCCCACACCTACACATCTTCCTTTCAATTTATTTTAAAAAGAAAAAGTTTGCCTGAAGGCCTCCAAGGCAATCGACAGATAAAACTGCAAGCAACAACAAAAACAAGCAGCGGTACTAAAAACAGATTAAAAAGAAAAGGCGAAGGCAACAGCAAGCTCGGAAGCCTGGCAGAATGCCGGAGTCCTGGCAGCCTGGTGAAAAGCCCGCAGTGTGGGAGCTAAGCAAACATCTGTTGGAGAGCGCCTTCTATTATCTGGACACATCTCTGGTCACCGCCGATCGATGCGGGTGAACCAAGGCATTTTTAGTTTACTGCAAAACGCAGGTTTATGCAGGGCATATGCTCCCTTTGTGAATCCTGGGCACAAACCATACCAGGCATGGGAAGGGAAAGGAATAGATGGGTGAGCCGAAAGAACAAGAATTCTTCCATCCTTTCAGGTCCATTGCGGTCTCCTCTTGATCCAGGGGCAGGGGGGGAGGAGTGGGAAGGGGCCCGGGCTCCATCCACTCCTCTGCCCCAGGATTAGTCACAGCCCCAAACAACTGCACTGGCCCAGCTTTGGTTGCTCCATGGGGCAGCAGGCACCACAGGGCTTGCATCTGCCACCCCGCCAAGATTAGGAATAGACTCCTAATGGTGCACTTTTGCATCACAGAGTCACCAGCATTGCGATCTGACCTGGCGAAGGAGCACATTTAGGAAAGGATCCCTCCTTCCCTGGGTGGTAGAATTTGAGAAGTATAACTTAATAATACAAAACAGTAAAATACGACAAGGAAAATGGCGCAGGTGTTGCGGCTTGGGGCAGCCAATCCAATGTGGGAGGCGGTCCGTGGGGCTGCGGGAGGGTGCCCAGCTGCCAGAGCCGAGCCCTAACCCTGCCAGGCTAGGGACCCAGCCAGCAGAACCCCAGTCTCGAGGGTGCCGCCCAAGCCTGCTTTCCACATGCAGAAGTCAAGTGGATTGTAACTGAATGTTACTTTTGCTCTCCCACCTGAGGACAGCAGGTCGTTTGCAAGGGCAAGACAGGCCGGGTGGCTCATGCAGTGCTATTGCCCGGGAGAGGAGGATGCGCAAGGGGACTCGGAAGGGAATAGCTTGGGGGTGGGGGGAGCACTGCTTCCCCACTGAATTTCTGCCTGAAGCACCTATTTCCTTCTTTCTAGTGGCAGGATCACCTTCACCTTTCCAGAACTGCACCTCCCTCAATTCTGCTGTGTGTGGGGGCAAGTCCAGGAAAGGGTTTAGCTCTCTCATACACCCAGGAAAAGCTTTGTAAAGTAGGAAGGGAGTTGTTAAGATTCATAAAGGATAAAGGGGTCCCACTGGCCTTTTTGTCCTTCCAAATATTTAAACAGCTGCAGGAGAGATTGGGTAGAAATATTAACACACTTAGCAGAGCATGACAAATCTCCAATCTGATTTAAAGTTTAGTCACTTCCAATGACAGATTGGGCCAATGCGAGGTTATCTTACATGCACCATTTGCAATTCGAGTGCAGCGGTAACAGATCCTCCTTTTTTGTTCTCTTTTTAAAGATGTTCTCCAGATTGCAGCGCTTGTGGTACGGAACTTGACCTTTTCCGCTCTGATGCTGTCTTCTCCACTTAAGCTTTTAATGTGAGGGGAGAGTTTCACATCTGGTCGTTCTCTGGTGCACTGTGGAGGGTTGGCACCCTGCCAGCAAGTTGGGGCTGAAGTTAAGTTTCCCTAGTGCCCAGTGAAGCTGCTAGAGAAGTCTCTTCGGAGCATTTTTCCTTGAGATGGTATGCATCATGGCACGGTATCACTGAGTCCAGATGCACCTGATTTCACGTGAATTCTGCTTTGGAGAAGCTCTCAGCCTCCTTCCAGTGCTGGGAGGGCTGAAGGCGAAGGGCATGGGGCCGGCTCACAACAATTTATGCAGCTATTGGAGTTTTCCTTCCTTCTACAGTGTGTTCGCGTGCTAAGAAAAGAGATGAAAGAAGGAACGGGAAAGCACGGGAAGGTTACAAACGGAAGGTGATGGCATCTGAACCCCCCCACCCCCCGTATTTGAGGGAGGGAAATTGCAGGATAAACTCTTTGTCTGGAAGCACCTTTGGCACGCTGGATTTAGAGCTTGGCCAGGGATTTCCATCGGTGTCCTGTCCTTACTATTCCTCACAGGTATGGCATTTCCGCTTTCCACAACATGGTGTCAAAAGCTCGGTTTTTAAACCCAAAGTGGAAAACTTTTATTGTGGGGCTTGTGCAACCTTTGGACTCGTCTGCAGTACTGCTGTTTCCTCTAGATACTAGTAGTGAACTCGCAGGTTTGCAGGAGTACAAACAATGCACACAGAAAAGGGACTTGGATAAGGGAACCCAAAAGGTCTCGTTGGAGACTGAGCATGCTCAGTGGATACAGAATGTTGTCTGTTGTGGATGATGGAATGGACCACCTTGGAGAAAAACCACCAATGGACCTTTGGTCTTCTCTAGCAGCTCCGATCTTACAGTTGAAATTGCATTGCTCCCAGAATTATGCACAAGCTACCCTAAATGAAGGCATACCTGCCTCAGGTAGGAATTGAATTGGATAAAGCTGAGAGTGAACGAAGGATGTGAACCTGGTCGGAGGGCATGTGTCATAATCCAAAGGGTTGGTTCAGTTTAGCCCTCTAGATGGTGGGCTAACTCACACTGACACCAGGTGAGCAAGGGTGAGATCTTCTATTAAGGTGGGCAAAAAGAGGGGGAAAGGCAGGGCTATTTGCATAAATTTGGCCAGAAATTGCAAAAACTGCAGCCAGACTGCAGGTAAGTTTCCCTGGCTCTGAGGAGGAAAGAGCAAATGGCAGCTCCTGACTTGGAACTCCCCCAACTCAGCCCACTTCTGGCTGTCAAGTTGGCAAAGTGCAGAGACACTGCTGAGCAGAAGTGAACCCATGTTCCGCATCCTGAAGGTGTGATTCATGTGCAGGAACATGTCGTGATTGGCTAGAAGGGATTTGGTCCTGTTTTTAACATCCTTATCAAAGCTGCCTTAAGTGGGAGTAGCAAGCTTGTGGTTGGATTCCAGCTCCCATCATCCCTGATCAGTTGCCAAATTGGTTAGAACTTATAGGAACTGGACTCTGAACAACATCTGGAGAGCTATGCATCTCTTATCCCTGAAGTACATCAACCCCATCTCTCAGCTGATACCTCAGCTTTGACATTTAACACAAAGCACCCAACTAATTTTAAAAGATTTTTGTTTTTGAGGTGTTTGTGCAAATGTGTGATTTTAAAGAAGACACTAAATCCTGATGTGAGGGATTACTTCAAATTATGCACAGCTAATTTTTTGATACCAATCTAAGCTGAGTAGATGGAATGAAAATGCATGATAGCTTGAAGATTTCACAGGATGTCAAAAGAATGATCACTAGAAGGATAGAAAATGTAGAGGAAAGATTTTCATCACAGGGTTACCAGCAGTGCAATCTGACCTGGTGAATTAGCAA